TTTTTTTTTTAGTTTATCAAAGTTATTTCTATGTTTTCAGAGATTAAACATGGGTATTCACTTTGCCCAAGGACTGTGTTCGCTTTACCCGGGGTACCGGGTAAAGCGAATACTTTCGTACTTTTTGAAAATTTAATTGCAGTTAATTATTGTTTAAGTATTAATGGTAACTGATGTTCGTATTTGTAAGAGCAATAAATAAAGACTGATTTGTGATACTTATTTTGTTTTTGTATTGTATACCTTTTCTGCTATAACCCTAAATACCTTAAGGTATCCACTTTACCCTACCTTCCCCTACCTATCGTCAAGTTCGGAACATCATCGATTTTCGAAATTTTGCATAATTATATATATTACTAGCTACTTGCGCGCGATTTCACCCGCTCTGCTCGGCTCCTATTGGTCTTAGCGTGTAGTTTTATAGCCTATAGCCTTCCTCGATAAATGGACTATCCAACACAAAAAGAATTATTCAATTCGAATCAGTAGTTTCGGAGATTAGCGCGTTCAAACAAACAATAAACTCTTCATCTTTATAATATTAGTATAGAGGTAGATTAGTATAGATGTTGTTAGGCGTACGACGGCACATGCGCAAAACCGCGTGAAAGAAATTCACGTGAGCAAAATCGCGGATAAAATCTAGTTTAACATAAACACATAACATAGGATAACATAACAGCTTTTATCCCTGAAAGGGTAGGCAATGTTGCATATTACGGCACTTAAGGCCACTGTACATTGTACAATGTAATACCCACTTTTCACTATTTATGTTATGAGCACCATGTAATAGGGGGTGAGCTTATTGCCATATATATATATATTTTTAAAACCTAGTTATACTTTGCTCGCGGGCCTGCGGACGGCGAGCATGGGCTCCCCGTCCGACCAAAAACAGACCCGAGCGTACGACGCGTCGCGTTCCGCGCGCGGAGAACCTAACGGGCATCCTGCACGGAGAAGCAACGGGGTGGTTTTTAGTCAGTAAGAGTCTGACACTCCCTCCCGCCTCACCCAGGCGGGAGTAGTCATTCGGCATTCTATGATTTTCCGCCCTTAAAAAAAAAGTTATACTTTGCCCGACGTTAATCGAACCCGAGACCTCATGTCCAGCAGTCGCACTTGCGACCACTCGGCCAACGAGGCAGTCAGTATAACATAAACAATTAAACATGCCTGTTTATCTGTTCCTTCGCTGATTAAAACCCGGAATGTTAATCCTGCGGTTTTAATTAAAAACGAGCGTCTGAATTTAATTAGGGGATATTGGGGAAAATCGACAATACACCAAGGCACTAAAGTTGTAATTGGGTTACGTCATACCTTAGTTACGATACGACCTTCTCCAATGAATTATTGACGCTTATTGATATCAATACCTAAATCGTGTGTGGTTTAGTTTATGTAATCGATGGTGGAATGCAATAGTACACGTAACGCTTGTTATATCCTAAAAAGGATAAGGAAAGATAAAGGTGAACTTACTGTTACTGTATTAATTTTAAATTATTACTATCTATACAGATAAATAAAATACGAGTGTCTGTTTAGGAATATTTACTACATGCATATAACGGCACTTAATGCCACTGTATAATGTAACACCCACTTTTCACTATTTATGTTATGAAACCCATGTAATAGGGGGTGAGCATGTTACCATATAGCGAGCACATTTCCAGACTCCGTGCTACTACTGAGAATTCTTAAAAATAAAATAATACTTTGACCGACCCGGGAATCAACCTGAGACCCCTTACCCGGTAGTCGCACTTGTACATACATACGATACCTACATTATACCAAAATAACACATTTTTTAATTTTTGTCTGTCTGTTTCTACTGGCTAATCTCTGAAATAGCTGGACCGATTTTAACGGGACTTTTATTGGCTAGTTGCTGATGTAGGTACTAAGAAGTAATATAGGCTAATTTTTTTTTTTAAGTCAGACATTGTTGCGAGTATTTTTTTTTTGTATGGCATAAGCCGGTAAACGAGCAGACTGATCACCTGTTGGTAAGCAATCGGCGTCGCCCATAGACACCTGGAACACCAGAGGCGTTACAAGTGCGTTACCGGCCTTTTGGGGATTAGGAGTTTTAGGATCGTTGGGGATTCAGGAATTGGGGAGGTTGGGGAAGGAGAGGGTAATTGGGCCTCCGGTAACCTCACTCACGACGAAACACAACGCAAGCGTTGCTTCACGTCGGTTTTCTGTGAGGCCGTGGTATCACTTCGGTCGAGCCGGCCCATTCGTGCCGAAGCATGGCTCTCCCACACTTATATATATAGTTCATGAGAATAGCTAGAGGGTATAGCTAGTTCATGAGAAAGTTTTTTAAATAGCTACTATAATAACCGCCCCACAGATCATAAGCAATCATAAATAGATTGTGTTTGTGGTCCAACTAAAAAAAAAAAAATAGATTACAAAAGAACACAATAAAGGATTTGAATTTGGAAGAAGTGATTTGTCTATAACCTCCTATTTACTAGTTACTGAGTCAATAACTTAATAGTACTTAGCTTGAATAGTCCTTACTATAATGTTATAAATCGGAAAGTGAGTTTGTTTGTTTGTTCCGCTTTCACGCCGTAACTACTAAACCGATTGCTTTGAATTTTTGCAGACGTAAATACTACTGATAAAAAGTACCCCTATTAAATAAGGGTACTTTTTATCTCGGAAAAATTTTGATATTCTCGAGGGAAAACGAAATTATTGATATAGATGGCGCTGTGTGTATTGATATATGTCACATAGGCTACTTTTTATCCTTTTGTGACGCAAGCGAAGCCGCGAGTAAAAACTAGTATTATATAATCTTGTTTTATAACAGACATCTTGTTTAAATATCATAACTATAGCCAATCTATTATTAATAATATAATGTTTGCATAACATCTCTTTAGTACTAGTGGATAAGCTAATCAACTGTGTAAATATATTATGTTTATATTATAACTTTCGTGAGACATACTGTTTGACGAGGTACTCGACTAGTTTGTTATCTTGCGCTGCGTAATGCTGCTCACGAATTCATATTCAGGTTTGGTGGAGTCGTCAAAAAGTAACGTGAGGAAGCGGCAAACATAATAATTAAAATTATTATTTAAAAATATCCTTTTATTCTTTTAAACTGTCAAACACCAAGCGGTCACCGGTGACCGCAACCTATTGTTCTATAATTGTGTCTATAATGACGGTACTCGACGAGTGTGGGAGAGCCATGCTTCGGCACGAACGGGTTGGCTTTGACTCGAACTCGACCGAAGTGATACCACGGCCTCACAGAAAACCGACGTGAAACAACGCTTGCGTTGTGTTTCGTCGTGTGAGTGAGGTTACCGGGGCCCAATTACCTCCCTCCCTAGTCTCCCGAATCCCCGAATCCTCCACAATCCTCAAATTCTCAATTCCCAAAAGGCCGGTAACGCACTTGTTACGCCTTGTTGTTTCGGTTGTCCATGGGCCGCGCCGATAGCTTACCATCAAGTGATCCGTCTGCTCACTTACGGCTTATGCAATAAAAAAAAAATTTCGAGGGCATTATGACTGCATGCTTGATGTGTTGCCAATCCACAGATTGTTGTTTCTTTTATGTATGTGTGTATTCTACATTTGAGAGCAACAAAAACGGAGCCACTAGCGTTTTTTTATTTTTTCATTTTATCAAACACTATAACTTTAAAAAAATAATCGTTTTATAACAAAATGCTCTCATTTTAAAGCTAACTAAATTGTCTTTTATACGATAATAGCTTTCAATATGTTTCAGGTAATATTTGAGGCTGGTTTCGTTATGATGTCGAGCGACTGGGCGTCACGCGTAGAGATGTGGCGACCGGCTGGCCTGTTGCAATGTGTGCCTATATTCTCTATGGCGCTCTTTTGTCAAACGTAAGTATAGATAACATTCTAACTGCAACAATTTTTCAATCAGCAGTTAATTATTTGCTGTAAAATAAAATTGTCAGTTTTTAGTATGGAAAAATTTTCAAATGTTCCAAGTTATTCCTTTGATAAAAAATTATCTGACGTTGGAAAAATCGACCCTAAGTTTATGAAGTCAAAGTCCAAATCTTCTTTTATTTATGTTTTGCTGGTCTAGTGGCGTTACTGCCTAGCAATGTTCAAATCGGCAGGTTCCGCTTGACATGTCACCGATACATGTCTTGAGACTGTCCCCTAAGTACATATATGTATACTTAGCTTAATATTATATCATGTTCATCAAGGAACTATTAGTGACATCATGGATACTATTTGTTTAAATTATCGCTTAGATACTTGTGCAGATGTCATACAATATAATCTAAACTAATTAATACGATAGATTATTATAAAGATATTGTCAGTTTATTGTATATTGCTAGATAACGACTGATAACAAATTAAATATAGGTATCAATACTCCTTGTACTAAAGAGTAGCTTTAAATAAACTGATAGATTCAATTATATCCTTCACATCAACAGCCTATAAATTCCCGCTGCTGAGCAAAAGCCTCTTCTCATACGGAGAAGGTTTGAACATTACCACGCTTGCTCAATGCGGGTTGGCGATTCCAAACTTATAATTAGAAATTATAAGCCCACGTTTTCTCGCGATGTTTTCCTTCACCTGTGGGATGATGGAAAACATCTGATGATGATGGGATGTGGGAGAGCCATGCTTCAGCACGAATGGGCCGGCTCGACCGGAATGATACCACGGCCTCACAGAAAACCGACGTGAAGCAACGCTTGCGTTGTGTTTCGTCGTGTGAGTGAGGTTACCGGAGGCCTAGTTACCCCCAACGATGCTCAAACTCCTAGTCTCCAAAAGGCCGGTAAAGCACTTGTAACGCCTCTGGTGTTCCAGGTGTCCATGGGCGACGCCGATTGCTTACCATCAGGTGATCCGTCTGCTCGTTTACCGGCTCATGTCATAAAAAAAACCGTTTGTCACTCGTGTCTGGATAATCTTAGAAAGTACATATAACTCGGAAAAAGTCACATTGGTACTTACCGTTGGTAGGTTTTGAACCCGCATTATCATGATGATAGGCCTGTACTTAAAATTTGATAACGTTAATTTACAGACAACTGTTCGAGATATTCGAGTCCCTGCCGAGCCTGTCCCTGGAGAAGATGAACATAGTCACTAAGAACGCGATCAACATTTGTACCGCGGTCTACTTTACGTTAGGAGTCTTCGGATACGTGGCTTTTGCATCACATGAAATATCCGGTGAGTTTATTCATTATTTTCTTAAGTATAGGAGAGCCATGCTTCGGCACGAATGGGCCGGCTCGACCGGAGTGATACCACGGCCTCACAGAAGACCGACGTGAAGCAACGCTTGCGTTGTGTTTCGTCGTGTGAGTGAGGTTACCAAAGGCGGCCCAATTACCCCAAAATAATTGCGGTTAAACAAACAAATTCTAAAGCGTTATATATTATTACTAGCTACTTCCACGCGGTTTCATCTGCTCTGCTCGGCTCCTTTTAATTATAGCGCGATGTTTTTTCCTTATAACCTTCCTTGATAAACGGACTATCCAACACAAAAAGAGTTATTCAAATCGAACCATTGGTCTTGGAGATAACTTAAACAAAACACCAATTCTTAGGCTTTATATATTAACCAGCTACTTCCGCGCGGTTTCACACGCTCTGCTTAGCTCCTATTGTTCGTAGCGTGATGTTTTATAGTCTATAGCCATCCTCGATAAATGCTCTATCCAACATAAAAATAATTATTCAAATGAGACTTGTAGTTACAGAGATTAGCGCGTTCAAACTAATAACAAACTCTTCCGCTTTATATAATAGTATATCTTCAATACATAGTATAAAACAAAGTCGCTTTCGCTGTATGTCCGTATGTATGCTTAGATCTTTAAAACTACGCAACGGATTTTGATGCGGTTTTTTTTAATAGATAGAGTGATTCTTAAGGAAGGTTTGTATGTATAATACATGCATATTGCACCCGTGCGAAGCCGGGGCGGGTCGCTAGTTATATATATAATTCTTCTGTGAGTGTGTCTGTCACTGAACTTCTCTCAAACGACTGGACCGATTTTGATGATTTTTTTTTATGTGTGTTCAAGGGGATCTGGGAATGGTTTAGATTCACAAATCAGCCCGGCAGATGGCGCTGCAGTCAGTTTTTTAGATTATTTATCCTAAACGACTGAACTAATTTGAATGATTTTTTGTTTAACATTCAAGTCGGTATGCAGGATAACGTCTGTCGGGTCCGCTAGTAAGAGTATAAAGATATAGATTGTTTTGTGTTTAGTTCCTGTTTTTGGGCCAAGGTTACACAAATTACTTAAACGATAGTTACTTATATATTTGCAAGAAGGAATGTAAAACATACATCTTGATTAGATGTCCAATATTGATAGAATTTAGTTTACAAGCGGGTAAGTAATAGGTATGTATTATCGTTAATTTAAGTATTAGTTGTCCGGATTGATAAATATAATAACGCATGCAATACATACTCAATTTGTTAGTCATTTACCTAAGACTTAAAGAATTATGTTGACTGTCTCATAAGTCGAGATATTGAATGTTAAAGATATGATAAATATTACAATTTAATTAGTTCTTAAGAGGCATTATTATATTAGAAACATCAATGATTGATTACATGAAATGCTTAACAAAAAGACTGTGTACTTCTGTTTTCATTAATAGGTTACTTGTTAAAGCATTAGAGGTCTATACATCGTGAAATCTATTTTGTTTTCGTCTTGCGGCAAAACAAAGTAGTAAAAACAAAAACAAAACTGATGTCATTTTTCAAATGAACCACTATACTCGGAATTTTAATTCGATTCCAGATTTGACAATTTCAGTGTTGCAACGTAACAAGTACTAAATAGTGACGTTGCGAAATTATTCGATATGGAAATGCAATATTTCTGGATCGATTCTTCTCGTTTATAATTTTACTCCCGTAAACTAAGTATATCAGGAAATTAAATATTTCTGAACCGATAATTTAGTTTTGACGATTAATTAACGATCTGAGACTTTTCTTTTATAATTGTGTGTGAAATAAATAAAAAAATGTAATCATGAAGGAACATGACAATTAAAACAGATAGATGTATTATGGTAATAAGTTATTTTATAAATTGTCGCCGTCATCGCTATCGCTATCCTGTCACTTTCTGTAACATTTATTATAAAACACACACACTGATTGTTTATCGATTTTTGTGTTCATCACTACACTATTATATGTGGTATCATTATTTCACAAAATGACAGAAGCTATTGTCAAATCTGGAATCTAATTAAAATTCTGACTACACTATTCACATCGCATGTGCCACCCGACGAGATATGCTTCTTCGAGTATTACATGGGGTGATGTTTTGATAATTTACTATGGGTTCGTATGCACTTTCGAGGTTTTTTTTGCAATGGTTCACCAATTACTTTTGTTTTAAACATTTTATTTTTTTGGAAAACTATTGTATTACCAAGGAAGAAGAAAGAAAATCCATAGATTACGCGACGACACACAACAAGAATGCAGGTATAAAAGCCCATGGTGCTTACTTAGCAGTGCAAAAGGCTGGAGCTCAGTCATTTTACTTCGGGAAAAAAAACGATATCTACTGTCGAATAAATGTTTTTTTCTTTCTTTTATATCGATTTCACGGTGTATATTCTTCGAGAATGCAACATGAGAGTCTTCGATTACCGTTTACTATAAATGTCTATCGAATAAACAACGAAGGAACAGTCAACTTGAAATACATATTATTACCTTCGTCATTTAACCAGGATAATATGCGGCCTGAAGCAAATAGTTAAATAAAATATCTTTAATAATAATTTAGCTCATGAAATTGTCGACATGTGGAATGTGGATTCAGCGATCATTGTGCCGATAGTCGTATCTCCCAATGGCCTCATTGCCAAAAGCTTCGACCACCACCTGAGTAGGCTAGCTTTAGATGGTGATGGCAAATAAAGAAAGGGAAAACAAATATAATATGTCCGCAATATGCATCATAATTTATATACATGTGTCTGTATGTTCTAGGCAACATCCTTATGAGCCTGAGTCCCACAATGGCGAGTGACGTCATCAAGCTCGGGTTCGTTATGTCGCTCGCATTCAGTTTCCCGCTCATCATCTTCCCATGCAGAGCCAGTTTATACTCTTTCTTATACAAAAAGGTAATAGATATTGTGTAATACTATAAATATAGTAATAAATCAATGACTCGACTAGTTTCCGTGTCTCATTAGTTAGAGCTCCTAGTATCGCTTGAAACTAGTCGAGTTCCTCGTCAAGTAATTACTTGAAATGGAAAAACATAATAATTAATTTTATGTCTCACGGAAGTTAGAATATAAATAATGTAGTAATGATTATAAATGACAGCCTCGTTAGCCGAGTGGTCGCAAGTGCGACTGCCGGGCAAGGGTCTCGGGTTCAACTCCCGGGTCGGGAAAAGTATTATTGGGATTTAAAAAATTCTCAGTGGTCTCCCGAGATTCCCTGCCCGGCAGTCGCACTTGCGACCACTCGGCTAGCGAGGTAATTACATTTGTAAACATCTTTAAACAAATAAAATAATACTCTTTCTCCCTCTCCAGGTACACTCCTCCCACCACGACCACATAATCAACCACTCGATCCCTGAATCGACGTTCCGCTGCATCACCGTCGGCATCATAGGCGTGGCTCTATTCATCAGCTTGTTGATCCCAAACATTGAGCTAGTACTGGGCCTGGTCGGGTCCACTATAGGAGTCCTCATATGTGTCGTGTTCCCTGCTGCTTGCTTCGTCAATGTGACCTTTAAGAATACTAATGAAAGGGTTTTGGCTAAGGTGAGTGACTGACTTAACAATTTGATCTAAATTTACCCAAAATGTAATGAATACATGATTTGATTTGTCAACAGCATACCATGAATACTGTAACGATACCGAAGTAAGCAAACATAATATAGCCTTCTCCCGCCTTTTTTTAGGGGGGGGATCATCGAATGACTTCTCCCGCCTGGGTGAAGCGGGAGTGTCAGACTCTTACTGACTAAAAACCACCCCGTTCTTACTCCTGCACTTCGAGCCGGAGCCCCGGTAACCCGGGCATCAGCCCTATTGGGCCCTATCCGTGTTGGTCTGATGGGTCTTTGAGGCGCGCGCAAACAAATAGCCTACTTCGGTTTCCTTCCATTATTGGTGTTACTATATTTAACACTTATTTTCCTATGTTCCAGGGCGTCTTAGTCCTAGGTCTAGTGATAATGGTACTAGGAACATACGCCAACCTGCAAGCAGCAGAGACGAGCATCGAGCGGTATGATGACAAATACACTCAGGAGAGGATCGACAAGATCGTAGAGGATTTCTTTGAGAGCAGGGTCAAAGAAGGTGCGGTTTTTTAATACTTGTATGAAGAGGGAGTAAGGGGGAGATAGAGAGTGAGAAGACAAGAAATAAGGTTAAGGCTTGGGTTGACGAAGGTCATCGTCATCACGCCTTTTACCCCCGAAAGGGTAAAAGGTGCACATTACGGCACTTAATGCCACTGTACAATGTAACACCAACTTTTCACTATTTATGTTATACGTCCCATGTAATAGGGGGTGAGCCTATTGACATATACCGGGCACAATTCCAGATTTCGTGCTACTACTGAGAATTTTAAAAATCCAATAATGCTTTGCCCGATTCGGGAATCGAACCCGAGACCCTTTGCCCGGCAGTCACACTAATGACCACTGGGCCAATGAGGCAGTTGACGAAGGTGTCACCACGTAATAATAACTTTTTGGCGTATATGTTGTTGGGAAGATCGTACTCCCATTTAGGTACTAGGCGCATTTTAGACTCCAATCTCTTACTGAGATTTTTGCGTTGCGGTACTTAGCACCAAATAAAGTATAATCTAATTTGTTTTCAGATATGTACCTAAATCAGCCGCAAAATGATTTACAAAATGAAGTTCAAAATAACATAGCGTTAGAAAAAGAAGTAAGAAAAGATTCAGAAGTACAACCACCGAACCCCGTCCCACCGGAATCTCAATCTAACGAGAAAATAATTCACGCAAACAATGTTATGAAAACAGAAGAGAAAAAGCCACCACCATTACCCGAGCCTAAAGAAAATGCAGACAAAGTATCAGAAACACATCCAAGGAATCTGAAAAATAAACTAGAACAAGCCAATGGTGCAAGCAATGGAGAAGCAAAAGCTAAGGAAGTTAAAACACAATCAAACGAAGACAAAATAGACATAATGAAACAACAAAAACTCATAGAAACTATCAAACAACACGGTGAAGAACAGAAAGAACTAATTAAAGAACAAAAAGAGATTTTAGACGAAATATTGAAGACTAAGAAGGAATTACAGCAGAATAAGAACGAAGCTGACGAAGCTAAAGCTAAGAAAATAGCTGTTGAAAGTATTAAACAGATCGCAGATATAGCTATCAAAAGCATCGGTGGAGTCACAGAGAAGCCTGATCAAGTCAAAGATGATGTTAAAGTTGAACAATTGGAGAAAATGACTAATGATGCAGTGCAAGAGATAGCTAAGAAGGCTGTGGAAACTATAGAGGCTATACAAGAGATTAAGGAGAAGCCTGAACAACCTGCGCAGGTTGTAGAAAATAAACCTGCACAGGCAGTTGCAAACAATCTGCCAGCACAAGCTGCACAAGCAGTTGGTAACAATCCTGCACAGGTTAATGGTCAAGTGAATCCTGCACAAAATAAAGAACCAAGCCAAAACCAACCGCAAGCACCTGCAAATCCACCAGTTTTAAATGCTATACCACCTTTGGTAAATGGCAAAGTAGAACAACCTATTGCTGTACCTAATGCATTGCCACAAGTTAACAATATTGTTCTAAATAACGGAGCTCCTGTACAAAATAACGTTGCACCAGTAAATCAAGAAGTCAAGCGAGCGATCAATGAAGCGAATAATGCACAAATATCAAACAAAATAATTGATAATAAGGCTCAAATTCCTGAAGCAGAAGTTAAACATTCACATTCTCCAGACGAACCACAGTCGTATAAGCAAGGCGAAGACACACAGGGTAAAGCAGAAAAACAAATTGTTCAAAACGTGCCTCCTCCTATAGTTAATGGTCTAGGTCATAATAAAATTAAGATAGATAAAAAACCATTGGCTGAAATTGATAACATAAAATTAATACCGGCTCAAAGCAATGGCGTCAATTCTAACGCACCAAAGGATCAAGTGAATGGAAATCCAGCATTAGTAAGGCCTAAGAGAGAAGTAGTAGATTGTACGAAAACTATTTCTTTGAAGCCAGAAGATAGAGCAATTTGCAATGCCATGGCCGTTAGCAAAGAATCGCAGGAGATCCTAAAGAGTGTTGATATGAATGAAATAGCGTTACCCAAGTCTTTACTTCAGGATCCGAATTTAATACATCACTTAAGATCTCTAAAAAGTTTTGATAAAGATGAGAGGTAAAGAGATCTCTTTCTAACTTGGTTTTTTATATGCGTGATCGAATAATGCATTTATTTGTTGATACGTTTTACTATTTGTATTCTTGATATGAATTCCTTATAAGTCATAAGATATAAAGACGGATTGGAATCGTTTTTGAAATTTTTGAGTATTATTGCTATTGCCATATTAGATTACAAATTTTCGATGTTTTATGGTGAGAAATTACAATTAAATTTACAGTAAGTTATGAAAATATTCATAATAGATGCGATATAAATAGATTTTTGTTCGAAAACACACTGGCTTAGTAGCTTGAGAGACTCAAATAACATTAAAATACTTTCTTAATATTTGTATCGAAACGGAAACCAGAATAAATTCTATTTATCTCGAATTAAACACATGGCATTTTGTAGCAGTATATAATACTGATATTACACACGAATATATGAATAAAGTAGCTGTATATAACTTGGCTAACCTTAAACTACGCACTAGTTCAATGTGATATAACTTGTCTAAGTTATTAATTTATTTTAATAAAGTATTCGTAAAACATTTTTACGTACTAGGTATCGACACCCTTAGAAATCAGTCTATTGTTATATATGTATGAGATATACTAAATTAATTATTATGTTCCTCGGCTTACTCATGTAATTATTTGACGAGGAACTCGCCATTTAAGCCATGCTAGAGGCTCATATTCATGAACAGCATTCCGTGACCCCCCCATAACGTGAGTAAGCCGATAAACATAATAATTAGTTTATTGTTATATTATTGTACGTTTTTCGTAATGATTACATTGCAGTGTTTCAACTGGGATAAAAACATTTTATAAACACTGAGCTTAACTTCATGAGATTTTTTTAGTCTATGAAAATTATTATGCTGCCTATTAGACTGCCTCTTTTGTCGAGTGGTCACAAGTGCGACTGCTGGACCAGGGGTTTTGCGTTCAATTCTCGGGTCTGGCTAAGTATTACTGGGTTTTTAAAAGAATCTCAGTACTAGCACGGAGTCTGAAATTGTGCCCGGTATATGTCAATAGGCTCACCCCCTATTACATAAATAGTGAAAAGTGGGTGTTATGTTCTACAATGGCATTTAAGTAGCGTAATGTGCACCGCTGCCTACCTCTTCGGGGATACAAGGCGTGATGTTATAATTATGTTATTAACTCGTCGAGTACCGTCATTATAGACACAATTATAGAACAATAGGTAGCGGTCACCGGTGACCGCTTGGTGTTTGACAGTCAAACATCATCTTCACCCTATAGAAAAACTAGTAAGATGCAAGTTCCAAAAGATTTCTTTGTGTTGTTTGTTTTCATGTTCAATACTTGTACTTCTTCAGAAAAAGGGAAACGTGTACTTACCCGCTTATTTATACGCTAACTATACTGTAAGTCGTTATGTAGAAAATACTAAATTATTTTACGTAAACTTAATAAATCGATTTACATGATGGGTATGTATCGATTGAATCAATATTTTTGAGTTTTATTTTCGTAAGCGCATAAAGTTTCAATGTGATCACGAGTAACTTGACTGATTGTGTATTATTAAATAAATATATTTTAAAATACTATTGCCTGTGTTTTTATTGAATTCCATTACCATAATAAATATATCTAACTACCTAATTCCGCGAGGTTTTACCCGTTCTGCTCGGCTCCTCTGACCGTAGTCTCACCTTTCTCGAAATGGACTATTCAACAGAAAGAATTATTGAATTCAGACCAGGAGGTTTATTTACTCTTCAATCCAATTCCGATCGTTCGACATTGATATTGTGACATTTCGTACTCTTGAATTGCAACACTAACGCCCATTGCATCCATATTAAAAGTCAAAATAATTTATTTCGATTAGACGAGGAAGCCAAATTTTAACGTCAACAAAATTTTTATTATCTTTGGTAACCGAGTCCCCTTAACAATCTTGTCGCCTAAATACTTATATTTTAAAATAAAATACTGCCAGTATCGAGTGGTGACGGCAGATTAATGAACCGTCGAATATAACTTTGTGGTAGTTTTTAGTAAAAACAATATTAAAAGTGAAACTATTTGCTAATCAAGGTGTAGAGTCCTATGGAGAAGAACGAGCAAGAAACTCCGTATGTTACCCTTTTCCAATCAGGTTCACAATACAAATTCTCTAATTACATAGTTTTATTGATTTGAATGTGCCAGAAAACGAAAATAACCAACGATAATAAATAATGCAGCTTAAAGCTGACCAGCCCTAGTTGACGGCGCCCGTTCACGAACATGACACGTAACTCAACACCGCTTAACTCAACCATGTTGTAGGGAATCGAGCGATCCAATGCACGTGCACCGCCAATGAAATCTTTGAGTGAGCATGACAACTCCAAGCTAACACAAATTCTACTTATGTAGTACTACTAGTCTTTTTTAATATTAAGTGACTTAATTTAAGTCAATTGCAGGGCTCTCACATTTACATTGATTACGCAAGTTTGTTGGATGTTGGGTCGGCGTCCATAGCGAGGTAAATCAATAGCGCCCCGCCTCTCTCCCGGGAGCAGCCGGCTGCGTTCACGCGCAGACAATTTAAACAATTTTTTAGCAGTAAGCATCAAATCAATGTTTTTTGTTATCCTGTGGAGCTGGACCAGGCTGCGTGACGTTCTATTGAGTGAATATTGAATTAACTAAATGGTATTGAGTTTGGCTTTATATTCCGTACTCTGAATGCTATTTTCACAGCTATGATAGGGGTTGTATAGTTTTGACATTGAATATTTATTGAGATTTTATTGGAATGAAATTGCATTGAAATTAAGATTGGTTTCTAGAGTAAGCACCTGGGGTTTACACTTCAATCCAATTCCGATAGTTCGACATTGATATTGTGACGTATCGTACACTTGAATTGCAACACTAGCGCCCATTGCATCCGTATTGCGTGGATGAACTAAATGGTATTGAGTTCGGTTTTATATTCTACACTCTGAATCTGAATGCTACTTAACAGCTACGATTGGGACGAAGAAGATAATAAGTATTGGGGAAGATTGAGAGTGTATAGTTTTGATATTAAATAATTATTGAGATTTTGTGTCAGTTACCCAGGCCAGATGTTGTCGAAAATGGTCATTTGAATCTTATAGATATAATTAGTTATAAGGCTCCTGTAATTGTTGCGCTTAGTCTTTTCATTATTTCACAAAAACATTTCTTGCTGGGGTATCGTTACCCCAGCCAGACTTTTTTTTTGTAATAGAAATAGTTAAATAATTACTAGCTGTAAAATTAGTTGTCTAGATGAAGTTAATGTTGTGACTTATTGTGAAACTAATTCCTAAGAAGCCATGTACAAAATATGATAAGAATCCGCTTAACCATTTCAAAGATCTACCTAAACCAAAAACGTTACCCCAGCATAATCTCGAATAAAATCGCAACCGATGAAAGAACCAATACAAAATAAGGCACATCATTTGCTTCATCTAGACAACTAATTTTATTGCTAGGAATGATTTAACTATTTCCATTAGAAAAAAAAGGTCTGCCTGGGGTAACGTTACCCCAGTAGGAAATGTTTTTGGGAAATAATTCAAAAACTATAATCGTAACAAATTTAAAAATGTGCGCAACAATTACAGTAGCCCACAACTAATTATCTATAAGATTCAAATGACCATTTTCGACAACATCTGGCCTGGTTAACACACACGATTTTATTGGATTGAATTGACATTGAGATTGGTTTCAAGAGTATGCAACCTGTACTGGAGATTAGCGCGTCCAAATAAACTCTTCAGCATTATATATTTAAAAAATATAATTTTGATACCACCATACTAATCTTAGTATGGTATGAAAAGGCAAAGGGTCGTACCTCAAAACTCCGAATATAAAACAAATGGACAGACGTTTGTCTTTATGACTATGCGTATTCTAGATAGATAAATATAAACTTTCTTGTACGCCAAGTAAGTGGAGGACTAAGGGTAGGGCCTTTGTCCAGCAGTGGACGTCTTTCGGCTGTTGATGATGAAGTATTTATATTATTCTAAGTAGGATAACAAAAAACAAACATAGTATTTATGGTAATTGATTTATTATGTTATAAATGCAAAAACAAAACTGAACCTTATTTAAATTCACTATAAATATAAAATAACTTAGATCTCCAACTTATTTCTTTTTTGTGTCCTTACTTTCATCTAGAACAGTTTTCTTCGACCTGGAAACAAACAAATGAAGTGGTTAACACTTAAATGCGCCTTGTAATGTAATTTCAATGGATAATTTATAATAATTTCAATGAACTTTAAACGTGTCTAGTTTAAAGTATAGTTACATTTAAAGTTTATTCTACATTGGCCTGGGTCCCCGTGGGATAAAAAGTAGCCATGTTATTGTAGAGCATAATCTACCCTTGTTCCTTCATTCTGATCTTTTCAGTAGTTTTAACGTTGAATAATAAACATACACTCAAATTCACACTTACAAGCTTTCGTATTTATCTATCTATCTAATACCTTTAAACGACCACTCTTGTATAACATAACATAACATCACGCCTTTTATCCCCGAAGGGGTAGGCAGAGGTGCACATTATGCCACTGTACAATGTAACACCCACTTTTCACTATTTATGTTATGAGTCCCATGTAATAGGGGGTGAGCCTATTGCCATATACCGGGCACA